TCGCAAGACAAATGTTCCTATGGCTGTGCTTCGCAAGACGAATGTTTTCCGTTTTTTGTTCCTGCCTCATGTTTGCTGATTTTTAAATGTTTTTTCTATTATGTTTAAAAAGGTAACTTTTTCGATTGAAATTTTTGAAATTATCTGCACAATATGTATGGCTTTAAAGAACACTTAATAAACCCTTTGTAAACCAAATTTGACTATGTTCTGATTTTTTTCCCCATAGTAATGCATTAATTAGATTTCAATGCATTCCTATGGGAAAACGCATTTCGCAAGACGAATTTTTCGCAAGACAACATTAACCATGGAACAAATTAAATTCGTCTTGCGAGGCACCACTGTATTTTATTTTCATGATATTAACCACTGTTGTATACACATTGTTTTCAGCTTTAAATATTGCCTTCCAATGTCAAAAGCCACTTTGGGTCCTTTTCAATGGTAAAAGTGGGGTAAAAATATTTGAAAGAAAGAAATAAAAAATGTAAGCCCTGCCAGTGAAATAGTAATGGTTTCTCTTCATTCTGGGGAGCATTGCATTTTCCTCTGTTTGGGGCTCTTACTGCTAACCGACTGAAGCTTGGGAAAATATTTGTGGTAAGCACCATTTTATGACCCCCCTGTGTTTGTTTTTAAACATTTTAGTTATCTCTAAAACATATTTCTTGGCTTAGTGCTGTATTCATAAGTGCAAAAATAAAAGAGTCTACAGTCCCCCCCCCCCAACAAGCCTCTGAGTTAAACTGAAGGAAGCCTGTTTTCCTTCAAGTAGATTCTTGGCTTGCTGGATACATATAAACCAGGGATTGTAGTTTAAAAGAAACTCTGATTCGTTCTTGAATAAGCAAAAAACAAATGCTGAATTGTTCTGCCGAGATGCTGGACAAATTGTGGCTTGTTTCAAGCTACTGTTCATCGCTCATGCGTAGCAACAAACCAGGAATTTGCTAAGTGAAACAGAATGCTGGTTTGTTCTGCCTCCTGGTTCCATTGCAAGGAGGTGGTGGCCGGCAGTCCAAGGCTCTATGGGGGGGGTGGTTCTCTCCTTATTCACGTCACTCTAAATTGTTGGTTGTCTCCACGTGATGATGCTGCTCGTCGGCAGGTGTGCAATTCTGAAAGACCCAACACAGAAGAAAAAAAGAGAGGGGGGGACCCATTTCTGAAGAGTTACAGAAGTCTTTAGGACCTGATTGTATAAAACACACACATACACACATGGAGCACAATAAGGAAAAACCCAAGTGCAGCTGTTCTCAAACATACACATGTTAAAAAAAAGACCTTCCAAGTCTTTAGGTATAAATGTTTGCCATAATTGGGCTTGACGGTTAATATCCGATTTCCAAACCTTTTCATCCGCAGCCTTTGTTAATCCCACTGCAAATGCAAATGAAACTTGCGTCATGCTTCCGCTAAAGATTTGTTGCTCCTTTTGCTGTGGCTGCCGCCACTGCCATCCTTTCTCGGTCACAACATTCCTCCTTCCTTCCTTCCTCCCTCTTTTGGGAGGCGATGAGTCACGGCATTGTGATGCCTTTCCCAGTTTTCACAAAAGAATTCCCATCCGATCCGACGTGAAAAGTTTCTCTTTAGGGAAATAACTTCTCGAAGGACACGTGCAAGCCAGGAACAGCCTGCTTTCTTTCCCCCCCCTTCATCGATGGCCTTCCCTTTGGGGCCCCGGGGTCGCTCCAGACAGGCACCTTTCGAGACCAACGGAAATGCCATGGGCAGGCCAGCTGTTGAGCTCCTCTCTCTCCAGCACAGATCAGCCCCTCTGGCACCACGCTCTGCCAGGCAGCAGACCTGCAGGTTCATCGTTTATTATGTCGCCCGCAGCGGCTTCGCCACGAAAACCACACAGCCGGCTGTTGTAGCCTGGCTCAGTTTCGGGCAGCCGGGCAAGGGGCAGAAGCAGGAGTTCGGATTGCACAAACCGCCTGCTAAGTGGCAATGCCGTTTGATAGCTCTGGGATCCGTCTCAGATTCTAAACCACAGTGGGGCTTGTTAAGCAGCCTTCTTCCACCATTGCAAAGCACGTTCCATCTTTTATTGCCCCCCTTGGTTCCATGAGACACATTCTGGCTTCAGACTTGCTGCTTGCCTCGTGGCGCTGTGGTTAAACTGCAGTCCTGTAGTCAAAACTCTACTCGCGACCTGGGTTCAATCCCGAGTAGCCTGCTCCAGGTTCACTCAGCCTCCCATCCTTCCGAGGTCAGTAAATTGAATACCCAGCTTGCAAGGAGGCAGCAATGTATAACCTGCAGAATGGAATTGTAAACTGGAGGGAGGCAGCAACGTATAACCTGCAGAATGGAATTGTAAACTGCCCAGGGAGTCCTTTAAGTGCTATGGGGCAGTATATAAGCAGCACACTTTGCTTTGCTTTTGCTTTTCACAGGAGAGAAGCAAAGAAGGGAGGGAATGAATCCGCTTATTCCTCTCCTTGCGTGACACATCGGCAAGCTTAAGAACACTCAAATAGGACTTCCATGACGACCAGAACTTAGCGAAAACTACATTTTTAAGCAACGATGCCCAGAAACTCCCAGCCAGCTTCTTGGGGGATCCTGCGGGACGTGTGTGTCCCCCCCCCACACCCTGCCCCACATTATATCATGATGTTTTTCTAACTCGCCTTACACTAACAGATTTCAACGTGGGGCAAATCATTAAAATCGCTGTATCTGAAAAGGCTCAGAACCTTAGAGCAAATAAAAATATTTTTGAAACCTTTTTATTTGTAAGTTTAAAAAAAAAACAGGAAAGGGGGGAAAACTGGAAACGAAGGCGCTACAGGGATTGGGTTAGCCCCGAAGCCGACGGCATCGCGTGGCAGAAATCCAGGGTGCCGGTGGCTCTCCATAAGCCACGGAATACTGTTTGCAGGCCGTACCCTGCTTCGAACGCGGAGACCCGGTTTCTACTGAAATAGGGCCTAAGAGGAGGAGGAGATTATCCGGGCTGTTACCTTCCGTGTCCTCTCTTTGGGCCATCAAGGAAGCTGGGAGAAAGGGAGGAAAGGAGGCCGCCTCTGCTTCCAGGGTGGCCAGCAGCTGTGCCGGTGGGCGGGCAGGAAGGCAGAGGGAGGTATGTGAAGGTTGTAAAAGAAAAAAATTCCCATTTTTATGACGCTTGTAACTTTCCTCTGGCCCTGCCACCTAGTTAGTGGAAATCTCCCCCCACCGCCTCCATTCCTACCTCCCATCCACTCTCTCTGTTAAAGACCAGCAGCGGAGATTAAACTACGCCTGGAAGCAAAAACAGGAGAGAGCGGCTGGGCTTATAGGATCCCACTTGCATCGGCCGGCCGAACCCATTCTGGGATTCATTCAGGAGACCTTTGAGCAGCGCAGGAAGCGAGCCAAGCCGCGTCTCATGGTTAGGAACCTTTTCTCCACACACACACCCTCCTGCAAGGGAATTTTGTGACAGGGCTGTGGCTCGCCCTGGCCAAAAAGCCTATCGTTCATCTTAGACGTAAAGCTGCGTAAGAGAAAGCTTTTTTTAAAAGGCCACCGTTTGGATCAGTTCTACTTCTGAGCGTTGACGTCTTTTCCCATCCTCGCCATGCCGCACAGCATGTAAGTCTAATTGTGCAGTAATGATCTTGAGTGTTTCTGTCTTTCCTCTCGTTCTCCTGTTCAAAAAGTGCTTACGTGAACCTCCATGAAGGAAAAATGTGGAATTAAGGTCTGATCAAAAGGGCTGTAAAAGTTTTTACCTGTCTTTTATTTTTCTTGCGCTCCCGTCGCCTTGGGAGGGCTTGGATGTCTCACGAAGACCTGCCTTAAGAGCAGGCCAGCTTTGACTGTGTTTGGTGACCGTCCTCGTTTTCATTTTCTGTCACGTTATTGAGTGTACAGGAGTTTGGAGGGAGGGGACTTCTCTGACCACTTCATAGCAAAGGGACATCGGGGGTCACCATATCTATTCAAACTGGTTTCTCCCACGGCTTTCTGTTCCGATTGTCGGCAGCGATCTGAGCTTTCCAGCTGAGGTCTTTCCAGAAATCCCCGGGCTTGGGGATGGTGGGAAGGGTCATCCGAAAAGAAGGGGGAACCCGCCCAAGCTACGAGTTCTTTTCCGGAGATTCGAATGTTGCTCTTCCGAGCAGAAGTGGTGGAAATAAAATCTGGAGCCTTCTGAAATGCAGTGCGCGGGCCCCAACGAAAAGGGTGTATTTTGTGTGTCCCTCGACGGCAAGTTGAACCATGGACTACCCAGTTCGCTGGTTCAGCTCTTTAATGCTTAACTAGGTCTCAAAACCGAAGGATCTCTTGGAGAGGGGAGGACTGTCAAATCAGCCCTTGAGGCGTCCTCTGCTCTCGCTTCCAATCCACCCACTTGTATCTCTTGACTTGTCCCGCTGCCTCTTATGGTCAGTTGGATGCGCTCTGTAGGCTTGGCACTCTTGCCCGTCCACATGGAGGGCCAACCGTTTTATACAACGGACAGAATTCCAGAGCAGGGTCTTGAACGTGCCGGGTGGAGCCCCCATGCGTCTGCCTTCCTTAATGTTTTGATGCGCCGAAGCTGTGGTTTCCATCAGCTGAGCTGACTGACCCTTTCTGGTTGTTCCCACTGGTTTTGTTTACAGGCGCTGATTGTTTTATAGGAGGAGTCCTTTTTATTCTTATAGCATGTGCATGTGTGGGCGTGCATGGGCGCGCATGTATTTTATGGGTGATCCCCAAGAGTTTGGAAAATGAGCTTTCTGGAATGATTCAGACCTCTGCCCTTACCTGGCAAGCAGCCACCGGGTGTGTTGGTTGAGGGTGTTTGTGTGCAATGGAGTCTGTGTGTGATCCTGGAAAGCGTAAGCCCACGTGGGGGTGGGGGTGGAGTGGGAATCCCACTTCTCTAAACTCTGAAGAATATACATGGCTGAGAGTTTTCTGAATTGCAAAGTACAGCAGATGGCATTGCATAATAATAAGAAGTGAACTTGTATCCTCACGGCATGCTTTTCCCCCTTTTTTTTTGGCAGACCATCCATGAGCTCAGATTTCCAGCATTACAGTTTCAGGATGCCAAACATTGGATTCCAGAACCTGCCTCTCAACATATATATCGTTGTCTTCGGCACAGCCATATTTGTCTTCATCCTCAGTTTGCTCTTTTGCTGCTACCTGATCAGGTAAAGGAATGCTCCCCTCCTCCCCCTTTTGCTAGGTGGTGGCCTTATGTTCGGTTTCCTTTCACCCAGCCAGATGATGTTTGCATTCAGTCACATTGTTTTCTGCTTGCGTTGTGGGCTTCAGAGTGAATCTCACACACACTCCAGATTTATGAAGGTGGATCTCCGCCGGTCGATTGTGTGTGAGTCAATGCTGGAAGAGGAAAGCTAGCCCACATGTTGGAGAAGTTGTTGTTGTTGTTGTTGTATTCTCGAAAGCTTTCACGGCCGGGATCTGATGGTTGTTGTGGGTTTTTCGGGCTCTTTGGCCGTGTTCTGAGGGTTATTCTTCCTAACGTTTCGCCAGTCTCGTTGGCCGGCATCTGATCAAAAGAACAGAGCATGGACAGAGTTCCTCCTCCTGTCCTCTGAAGATGCCCATGGCCACAGAGACTGGCGAAACGTCAGGAAGAACAACCTTCAGAACATGGCCAAAGAGCCCGAAAAACCCACAACAACCATCGTTATTCTTATTATTTGGAATACAACTCACTGATTCTGGTAACTGATTCCAGCCTTTTGAGGTGATGTGGACTCACAATGAGGGTCATTTCCATCCAGACTTCTCTTCTGGATAAGATCCAGGAGGGCTCAAGTTCTGTCAGTTTGAAAAAGCAAGAACGATGATTGGTTTGAGTGTCCATGATATCCCAGATTAAAAAGACAAAATATCATTTGCTTGTTAAATGAATAAGAAGGCGCCATATAATTCAGGGTCCTGTGGGCTGCATGTGGACCCCAAAGATTGCTCTTCTGCATCCCCCCAAGGGGAAAACATATATATATAAACATGTCCCCAAAATGGGGAGTATAATCTCTAGGGGCACGTGGTTCTTTTCTAAAACTGTTTCCTCATAAGGGGGCTGGTCCAGCAACGTCTTTGCACCCCCGGAGTTTGCCCACCCTGGACATAGTTAAGTCTATAACTGCACAATTGCACAACCATTTCAACGAACAAAAGGCAGCAGGCCAGAAACATGTCAGGAGAAGCAGCACTTGGAAAGGAATGCACGTTGGCAGCGGAGGCTGGCAGATCCGTTGCCCGGGAAGAGGGCGGCCGTGTTCACCCGGCAGGTGCAAGGGATAATAACTATGCAGGCTTCCGTTCTGTATGCGCAGCTGTACACAGTCCAGGAGGGGACAGAGAAGCTGCCAGGTGGCTTCCCTGGCCATCAGCCGTTCCTCAGCATGCAAAACAGTAAGCGGCTTGTGTCCCTCCTAGTGAAAGAAGCAGGAGGCGGATTATCGCCCGACCGCTTGGCTTCCCCTGGAGGTTTCCCCTTGCACATGTGAAGAGCATGGAGTGAATGTGTAGAGCATGTGGTTTGCATGCAGAAGCTCTCTGGTTCAATTCCTTGTCAATCTGAGGCAGATTTCTGCAGAATGGCTCCCCCAAGTTGCGAAAGGGATCTGCTCAACATGCGTGATTTTTCTCACCTCTCTATCTTGAATTTCATGTGTTTTGTTTTGAAACTGGTCTCCGGACTGCAAGTTCAGGCTAAGTTTGCAGTGTTGACTGCTGTGGCATGTTATCTCTAAGGAAAACTGATTAATCCAGTTAATTGTAGGGAATCTGCATTCTCCAGAGCATCACATTTGACCTTATAATCTAATGGGACCTGGAAACGTCCAGATAGCTGCTGCTGGTGGTGGTATTGCTTTTCCAAGAGCCTTAAGAAGCTGTTTTTTTTTCTGTCGGGGTGGACCATGCTGTGGTTCAGGAGGTATAAGGAAGTTTCATATGGTCAAGCACCTTTAATTACCAACGGAGAGCAGGAATTATAACTAAGCAAGAGGCTGAGATTTAGCTGTGGACTTCCAAGGATTCTTGGAAGGAAGCCTTTCAGCTCAAGGGACCTGCAGTAATTATTCCTGGTGTGTTCTGATGGGAACGGCCATCAAGAGGGCTGGAAAATAAATTTCTGTTAAGTGAGACTTTTTAATGAGATGTTTAGCCTTGGGAAAAGAAGAATAAGGGGAGGTAGGAGAGCATTTTTCAAAGACTTGAAAGGCTGTCAGACAAAGGAGGAGCAGGATCTGTTCTTGATCATCCCATAGTGCAGGACACGTCATCATGGGCTCAAGCGACAGGAAGCCAGATTTCGGCTGAATATCAGGAAAAACGTCTTCACTGTTCGTTAGATCTGCTTTGACCTGGATTCAAATCAAACGCCTTACAAGTCCATTCTTCTAGGGTTCTAAGATTAACTAATTTTTCAGTTTGTGACAGAAAGAGACAGATTTTTTTTTTATTTTTATTTTTGCATTCCTTCTGGTCTAGGACATCCATTATTGAAATTGGCCATTTTCCTTTTGTTGTGGGTTTTTGTGGCCAGAAGACATGCTGAAACATTTACAGGACCAGAAGGCCTGAGGATTTTCACCATCAATAAAGATCTTGTTGTTTTAGAACTTGGGGGGGGGGGG